ACTACAAATCAATTTCTTTGATGGAAGTAGGGTTATTCAAGTTATCTGTTTCTTCATGAGTGAGTTTTAGTAGTTTGTTTCTTTTAAGGAATCTAAGGAAGTTTTCCATTTCATTAGCATAAAGTTAATATTCTCATATCCCTTTAATATTTGTATAATAATTGTGATGTTACCATTCTCATTTTTTATACTGATAATTTTTGTCTTTTGCATTTTTCTTCTGATCAGTATTATTGGAATTTATAATTTTTATTGATTTTCTTAAAGAACCAGCTTTTCCTTTCATTGACCTTTTTATTGTTCGTTTGTTTTTTCTATTTAATTGATTTATGTTTTGATCTTTATTACTTCATATGGTCTGCTTACTTAGGGTTTAATTTGCTCTTTTTATAGATTCTTGAGATCATTTATTTGAGAACTTCTTCTCTAGTCCAGACATTTAGTACTATTTATCTCCCCTTTCTTTTCTTTTTTTTTTATTAAGGTATTATATGTGTACATATCTTACCATTGTGTTTATCTCCCTTTCAATACTGCTTTAGCCCCGAGCCCAGTGATCGGCAAACTGCGGCTCGTGAGCCACATGCGGCTCTTTGGCCCCTTGAGTGTGGCTCTTCCACAAAATACCACAGCCTGGGCGAGTCTATTTTGAAGAAGTGGCACTAGAAGTTTAAGTTTAAAAAAATTTGGCTCTCAAAAGAAATTTTAATAATGGTACTGTTGATATTTGGCTCTGTTGACTAATGAGTTTGCCAACCACTCCCCTAGCCTGTTTGCTCAGTGGGTAGAACATCGGCTCAAGAACTGAAGAGTCCTGGGTTCAATTCCATTCAAGGGCACGTGTCTCTCTCACATCAATCTTCCGCTTTCTCTGTCTCCGTCCCCCTCTTCCACTCTCTAAAAATCAATGGAAAAAATATCCTCCGATATACAAAAAAATAAAAAATAAAATAAAATAATTGGTTTAGCTACATTTCTTAAGTTTTAGTATAGTGTATTTTTACTCTCATTTTGTTCAAAATGATTTTAAATTTTACTTTTGGTATCTTTTGTGATCCATGGGTTATTTAGGATTGTGTTATTTTTTAAAAATGTCTACCTTTATTTTATTTTAATAATTTTAAATATGTAGAGGTTTTCCAAATATCTTGCTTTTATTGTTTTCTAGTTTAATTCCATTGTGGCCAGATACCTACTTATGTATAATTTTAAATATTTTACATTTATTGAAATTTGTTTTATTCCCCCAGAACATGATCTGTCCTTACTCATTTTCTGTGTTCATTTGAAAAGAACATGTATTCTATTGTTGGATGGTGTGCTCTATAAATATCATTTAGATAAAGTTGGTTGATACTCTTTAAGTCTTTTATATCCTTGATGATTTTTTGTTTACTTCTATCAATTATTGAGAAAGGGTTGTTGAAATCTCTGACTATATTTGTGAATGCATATCTTTCTCCTGTTAGGTCTCTAATTTTCAATGAATTTTAAAGTTTGTTATTAAGTGGTGCACAAATATTTAGGATTGCTTTGTTTTCTTAGTTCAGGATAATTATAGTGGCTAGTTCATTGAGTTCTTGGAAGGATGAAATGAGATTGTATGTATAGAGTGCTTGGTGCCTGACACCTGGCCTGACAGTCTGAGGGCAGCCACTGTTACCAACAGCAGCAGCAGCAGATGCTATTATTTGTTTCTCTCATTTCCATCTCTATGTTCATATTCTTTCCTCCGCCTGGAATGCTGTTCTTCTCATTTGTACCTGTCTAAATTTTATCCATCTTCAAAGATCTTCACTAGTTCTCAATTCGTCTGTGTCATGATCACCTTCCCCCTAATTATCTTTCCTCTTCATAATTCTGTAACCCTTTTAGTTGAGAATTCTTATTATTTTTCATATGCTTATCTGTCCACTTCTCTTTAAAGCATGAGAAGTGCTGTGAAGGCAGATTGTAGATTCATTCTCATACCTTCTGACACACAACAGCTTATGCAGATTGTGCCAAAAAGTGCTGAATGAAAAGTACGTTAATTCAGTATAACAAATATCCCTTTAGTTCCAAGAAACTATTATCTTTAAAAAAAAAAAAGTTTTTATTGATTTTTAGAGAGAGAGGAAGGGGGAGGAATAGAGAGATAGAAGCATAGATGAGAGAGAAACATCATCAGTTGGCTGTGTCCTGCACTCCTCCTACTGGAGATTGAGCCCACAACCCTGGTATGTGTCCTGAGTGGGAATCCAACCAGGGACCTCTTGGGTCATTGGTCAATGCTCAACCACTTAGCCACACCAGCCCTTACTTCTTTAGAAACTTCTGTAAACTCTTTATTAATCCTTGTTATATTTTGAGGAAAAAAATAATTTTGTTATGAAAATGCACAGTTGGGCCAAAGAGACTAATGAAAGAAAGGGCAGCAAAACAGATGACAATATTAGCGAAAACAAACTGGAACAAAAACTGACTAAGTCACAATGCTTTGCATTCAGCAAGCTTTTTTTTATGTTGTCTCTCAAATTTGTTATTGTTTCAAATCTACTCTATTCCTCATGATGACTATCATGCCAAATTGAACTGTGAAGTAAACATTTGTGAATAATAATGCATCTAAACTCTGTTTACTGAAACAACCAAAAATATCATAAAAATATAATACATTAAAATGTGATTAAATATCTCATTCAGTTTGCTGAAACTGAGAAATTATCCCTAAGAAGTGTCACCTTCATATTGTAGGCGGATGGAGTTTTCTCTGGATAGCCATTCCCACTCCTCTGGGGAAGGGGATAGGGTGGGAGGGAATCCCTGCTTCAGAATTTCTTTCCCATAGTGATTTGGCACAGCTCCAGCCTGTCTTTCAGCATAATGCATGCCTTGTCCTTGCTAAAGGAGGTTTGTCATTTGCTTTCATGCCTTTAAAAATATTTCTGGTCATTTTGAAAGAAATAATTTATAAATAGTTTACTACCATTATATAGAGTGCTCCAAGACCACAGACAAGTGTTAGAAACTTTAAAAATACTTAATTTATATAGATATTTGTTTATTAAATAAACATTGATTAGCACATTAAAATGATAATACCGTGCTTCCCCAAAAATAAGACATCCTCCGAAAATAAGACCTAGCGCATCTTTGGGAGCAAAAATTAATATAAGACACTGTCTTATTTTCGGGGAAACAGGGTACTTTCCAATTCAATAATGGCTATGCCTTATTTGACCATACAAAGCTGAGGGTTGTGTTTTTTTTTTTTTGGTATAGTACAGAATATTATTTGATTTTTTTAATAAGGTAAACTTATTTTGTATACTTCAGAAGTGTGATTTATATCATCTAGTCAGTTATCAGGTGGCTTTATGCTTGAGACCCATATTGAGGATTTCCTTTTTTTATTAGAGGCCAGTTCTCCCTTATTACTGAGGGAGGAATGTGGGGGAAGGATGGGAGAGAGATGCAAAACATGACTGATTGGTAGGCCAGTTGGATAGCTTTTCAAATTGTGAGAATTTTTTTTCTACTGATAAAACTTGGTATCAGTACTTTACAGAGGCATTTAATTTTTTTGTTTTCATATTAAAATCTCAAAGAAATTGATTGAGAGACCAAGCTTGGGAACAGAAAAAAATTTAAAAAATGTTATCCCATATTAGCATTTTCTGCTGCACTTGAGGAATAAATACTTCTTTGTGATATGTGGTTTTGTGTTTTTATGAACTGTTTAGGGAAGTTTTTCTACTGAAATGGCTGAATATAAGTTCCAAAGATTTAAGCTCTTCCTTATATCAATGTTCCACCTCATTAACTTCTTTGTTAGGGCTTTTACACTTCAGTGATTTGAATAAAATGATCTAAATGTAGTTCTGTTGTCTTCTCTTCCCATCTGTCTCCTATTTGAGGTCTATATGATTTTGTATTTAGTTTTGTGTTTTCATTTACACTCTATTGTTAATTCTGTTAAGCGCAAGATGATGACGAATGGGGAAGCTATTGTATAACAAAATGTTTCACACTACTGAAGTCCTGACAGATAAGGAAATGTGTTTATAAAGATAAACTAGTCACTTCTTCAACTAGTGTTTTAGCATTTGTATCTCCAAGTGGTCTTCAGAGACCAGGAACTTCGTAACTGTTAGACTCCATTTATTATGGAGTTCAGATTGGTGGTTGCATTTGACCCTGAACAACATGGGGTGCCAACCCCTGTGCAGTAAAAAACCTGTGTGTAACTTTTGACTCCGCCAGAACTTAACTACTAATCCTCTGCTGTTGACTGAAAACTTTACCGATAACATAGTCGATTAACACATATTTTGTATGTTTCCTGTATTCTTACAATAAAGTAAGTTACAGAAAAAAAAATGTTGTTGAGTAAGTCAGAAGGAAGAGAAAATACATTTGAAGTACTGTATTATTTATTGCAAAAGAATTCATGTGTAAGTGGACCCACGCAGTTCAAATCTTGTTGTTCAAGGATCGACAATATAGCTGAGCATTCCTGTGGTATTTATTGCCCTGGAACCCAAATAAGGGAGAGCTTTGCTTAAAAGCAAGCTAGATTTGTCCTTTAAAGTGTTTCCTAGAATGTTCAGGAAAAGTATAAATTATGCAATGAATTTCTAAGTAAGATCACCTTTGCAAATCTTTGCAACTGCTTGCAAATGGTAGACATATTTAGGGGCAGAAAGGTTTTTTTATACCTGATTTACTGCCAGATGTGAGCACTCCTTAGCAATATATATCCCAAATGCACATGAGATGTCTTCATTAAAAAGTAGAGGAAAATAAGTTAATTTTACTTGAGTTCAGGGGAATGAAGCTGTCATGTTGTTAGACATTTTTAAAAAATAGTTAATTACTAAGATATAGCATTAGATACTTTAATGAAGATTAATCTATATTTGACAATATAAATTGAGCAATGAATCTCATTTTACATAAGTTTAGGTATTGACATGAGATATTGATGTTCATTTCTGACCATTTTTTTTTTTTTCCAGCTCACCAGCGATTGGAACCAGCAACTCTGTCAGGGATTGTGGCATTTATTCTTAGTCTTTTATGTGGAGCTCTGAATTTAATTCGAGGCTTTCATGCCATAGAAAGTCTTCTGCAGGTACAGTGCTATTTTTGCATTTTTGCTATGTCAGGTACTCTGTCTATTGATTCTGCTTGTTACAGAATTGCTTCAAATTGATTTGAGTATTAGTACAACTTACAAAGTATGCTCAGATTTTGTATTCTTTATACTTGCCTTATTCTCCCCTTTCTCTAAAACACTAATTTCAAAACACAAACCTCTGATTTCTAATTGACTGCTTTGTCTCAATTAGCACATATTTATTATCTATTCTGCAGGAGACACTATTTATTGGTACTCTAGGGACATTAAGATATGTATGACATGGGCCTAGAGTTGAATTAGGAAGACAAATAAGACCACAAATAATTGCCAAGTGCCTAGTACACAGAGAGCAGGAGAGGGGAGTGGTCAGTGTGAGTCGGGATAGGAGAAGGAGGCTTTGTGGACAAGGGGTGAGCTGGACATGGAAGGATCTGTGTAGACAGACAGGGGCAGGAGAAAGAGGGCAGTCATGGGCAGGTTTTTGGCCTATCCTCTGTGTATTCCTACTTAGTTATCTGCTCTTATTCCTTTTTTCTTGGTGCCTACCCGTGAAACCACTAATTTTTTCAGATATTGCCAATGATTTTGTTTTCTAGTAGAGTTGCTTTCAGAAAATGTGGCTATCAGAGTATATTATTTTTTCTCTTACTTTTTTGTAAACTTCTTGAAACTTTTCTTAAAGTTTAGCACATTTCAGAACATACAGCTTTCCTTTTCCTTATTAATATTCACTTTCTCTGAAGACTTTTGACACTCCTGCATTGTAAATTAGTTCTCTTTTGCCAGGTGAGGGAGGGTCAGCATTAAACCCATAAAAATGCACTCAACACACTTTATATTCTGTTTTAAAAATTGTTATCAGTTTGGGAGCACTCAGAGAGTACCACTCTGAGGACCCTCTGGATGTCCTGAGCTGTATGAAGCCAATAGTAGAGGACATCACAGGTTCCAGGTGGCTGAGCTGCCCTCGGGTGTGGGGTGGTGCATCTCATGATTTCCCAGTTTCACTTCCACACACCCTGAGCCTGCAGGTAAAGCCTTTTCTGTTTAGGCACAGGACTGCTGAATATTGTCTCTTGATGTTCCTGCCCTTATTCCCTAGCCAGGTTACCTGTATTCCAGTAGGAGTTCAATTTGGAGACACTTAGTCAACCTGCCAAGAGGAAACAAAGGCAGTTTGAAGACTGTTGACTGAAAAAGCTAATAAATAAGATATTCTCTCTCTCTCTCTCTCTCTAACTTGTTGTAGTGGAAAGGATAGTAGTGGAAGTGTGTGAAGAGTTGATTTTTGTGGAAGAAAGATAGCATTGGCCCCAACTCAGCTATTGATTAACTCTATGACCTTGAACAGCTCACCTTTCTTTCTAGTTCTCAGTTTCATTGCTCATCAAATGAAGAAAAAGGGGTGGATTTGATGAGTATTTCTTGAAGTATGGTTCACACTTACCAATAGTTAAACAGTAGATGACTAGCTGATAGAAGGGCGAACATTTTAAAAAAATATATTTTTATTGATTTGAGAGAGAAAGAGAGAGAGAGAAAGAAACATCAATGGTGAGACAGAATCATTGATGGTCTGCCTCCTGCACACCCCACATTGGAGATTGAGCCTGCGATCTGGGCATGTGCCCTGACCAGGAATCAAACCATGACCTCTTGGTTCATAGGTTGACACTCAACCACTGAGCCATGCCAGCTGGGCCAAACTTTTTTTTAAAATATATTTTATTGATTTTTTACAGAGAGGAAGGGAGAGAGAGAGAGAGCTAGAAACGTCAATGAGAGAGAAACATCGACCAGCTGCCTCTTGCACACCCCCTACCGGGAATGTGCCCGCAACCAATGTACATGCCCTTGACCGGAATCGAACCTGGGACCTTTTAGTCCACAGACCGACGCTCTACCACTGAGCCAAACTGGCTTTGACTGGGCCAAACATTTTTAATTTTAAGAATTATGTATTTAACTCAAGATGTATCACAGACTTAAATGTAAAACACAGAAGTTATCTATATTAATAAAAGGGTAATATGTTAATTAGACCAGATAGACTGGATGTCTTCCGGATAAATCCACGGTGGTGGGAACAGAGGCAGAGGCGGTTAGGGGTGATCAGGCCAGCAGGGGAGAGCAGTGAGGGGCGATCAGGCCAGCATAGAAACAGTTAGGGGCACCAGGCAGGCAGACAGGCAGAGGCAGTGGCAGTTAGGGATGATCAGGCAGGCAGGCAGAGTAGTGAGGGGAGATCAAGCAGGCAGGCAGAGGTGGTTAGGGGCAATCAGGCAGGCAAGCAGGTGGATGGTTAGGACCAGCAGTCGTAGATTGCGAAAGGCATGTCCAACTGCTGGGTTAGACCTGCCGGCAGTGGGACATCCCCCAAGGGGTCCTGGATTGGAGAGGACGCAGGCCAAGCTGAAGGACCCTCCTCGTTGTGCACAAATTTCATGCACCGGGCCTCTAGTAAAATATAATACAAAACCTAGGCAACCTTGCTGTAGCCCAGTGGTCGGCAAACCGCGGTTCACGAGCCACATGCGGCTCTTTGGCCCCTTGAGTTGGCTTTTCCACAAAATACCATGTGCGGGCACGCACGTACAAGTGCAATTGAAACTTCGTGGCCCATGCAAAGAAGTCGGTTTTTGGCCTTGGCAAGTCTATTTTGAATAAGTGGTGTTAGAACACTCAAGAGGCCAAAGAGCCACATGTGGCTTGTGAACCGCGGTTTGCCGACCACTGCCCTAGCCGGTTTTGCTCAATAGATAGATCATCTACCTGGGGCCAAAGGGTCCCAGGTTTGATTCTAGTCAAGGGCACATACCAAGGATCCTCCCCTGCCTGGCCTGGTCAGGGCTCATGCAGCAGTCAGCCAATCAAAGTGTTTATCTCACATCAATGTTTCTCTGTCTTTCCCTCTCTCTTCCACTGTCCTTAAAAATCAGTGGAAAAGTATCCTCAGGTGAGGATTAACAACAAAAAAGAAACTCTAGGCAACCTTGAATTTAGTGATGAATTTTTAGATACAACACCAAAAGCATAATCTATGAAAGAAAAATTGGTAAGTTAGACTTAATGGAAAAACTTCTGCTCTATGAAGGACATTAAGAGAATGAAAAGATAAGCCATAGACTAGGAGAAAATATTTGCAGAACACATTTGACAAAGGTCTTGTTACCAAAACATACAAAGAGCTCTTAAAACTCAAGAAAGCAAACAACCCAATTAAAAAATGAGCACAAGAACTAAACAGACATCTCACCAAAGTATATGAAAAGATGCTCACATCATATGTCATTAGGAATTGCAATTTAAAACATTAAGATATCACTAAACATCTATTAGAATAACAAAATCCAAAAAAGACACTTGACGATACCAAGTGCTGATGAGGATATAGAACAACAGGAACTCTTCATTTCAGATGGAAATGCAAAAGATACAGTCATTTGGAAGACAGTTTGGCTTAAACATAGCCTCACCATACTATCCAACAGTCAATCACTCCTCAGTATATTTGGCCAAATGAATAGAAAACTTAATGTTCACACAAAACCTACACATGAATGATTATCTCAGCTTTATTCATAATTTCTAAAAACTAAAAGCAACTAAGAAATCCTTCAAAAGGTGAATGGATAAGCAAACTGACAATTTGTACAATGGAGTATTATTCAGTAATGAAAACAGATGAGTTGTCAAGTCACAAAAAAGACATGGCTAAACCTTAAATTTACTAGTATATCACTTAATGAAAAAAGCCAGTCTGAAAAACTATACTACTATAGGCCTGGCACATGAAATTCGTGCATGGGTACAGTCCCTAGGCCTGGCCTGTGATCAGGGCCATCTTCCCTTCTGCCCACAGCCCAGCCAGGCCCCCCCCCACCTACTCCCACCCCCAGTTCCTCATTTGCCATTGGGTGATCAGTGCCGGAGGAAGGGATGGAGGGATCGGCTGTCCCTGCCCACTCCCATCCCTGCCCCTGCTGCAGTTCACCCTCTGTGTGTGGGTGAACCCCCAGCACCCGCATATGCCACCACCCACCCCTGGTTCCCTGTTCACTGTCAAGTTATTGGAGCCTGCTGGCCAGAGAAAGGGACCTCATAGTGATTGCACTAGCGGTCATTCTGGTCTTTCTGCCATTAGGGTTAATTTGCCTATTACCCTTTTACTATATAGGATAGTGGGGGCCGTCTGGCCTGCCCTAATGGAGGCCCTGGATCAAGGTGGGGGTCCCTGCTGGGGAGCAGGGATGGCCAGGGCAAGTGGTCATGGGAAGTTTGCAGGCCAGCCCCACCCCCAACCAGTGTGGGGGGTGTCTCTGCTGGGGGACAGGGCCGGCCAGGGTGAGGGGCTACAGATGGTTTAGAGGCTGGCCACACCTTCAATTGGGATGGGAGTCCCCACTGGGGAACAGGGCTGGCTAGGGCAAGGGGCCACTGGTGGTTTGCAGGCTGGCCATGCCTCCAGTTGGGGAGGGAGTCCCTCCTGGGAGGTGGGGCCAGTCTGAGCAAGGGGCCGCAGTCTCTGGTCGTTCTGCCATTTCGGTTGTTGGGCTTTTATTATATTGAATATGTTCTAACTATATGACATTTTGGAAGAGGCAAACCTGTAGTGACAGTAAGTAAAAAGATGAGTGGTTGCCAGGGTTTTGGAAGGAGCGAGAATGATTGAATAATTGGAGCATGGGATTTTTAGGGCAGTAAAACTATTCTGTATATTACTTAGTGGTGGTTAAGTCATTTACACATTTCTCAAAACCCATAGAATGTACTACACGTGGAGTGGACCCTAACATAAACTATGGACTTTAGTTAATAATAATGTCACTGTTGGCTCATCAGTTACAACAACCAGATCACATTAATGCAAGATGTTGATAACAGAGAAAACTGAGGAGGGGAAAGAGCAGATATATCAGCATTTTTTCTTAAGTTTCTCAAACTGCTCTAAAGACAAAAATCTATTAATTTACTCTCCCACCTACACACAC